GAAACGAATTTAATAACGTGAATATAATTTGCGCTGCGATCAAAATGTCAAAAAAAGTAATATTTAACGGGAATACTGTGCTAGGTATTTATTAAATACGGCTGCAAATTAAAATTGAAGTTATCTAAATAAAAATAGAAATGATAATGCACGTTTAAATTATCTTTTATATAATTAATCATATAAAAGTTGAGGTTAGCAATTGTAGTACCTAATATTATTTTTATAGTTAATACACGTACCACCGTATAACCTATTTCTCGGGCGTGACGCCAAAAACTTATTATAAATTCTGTGTAGGTAGACTATTCAAATAAACCATTATTATTCATGATAATTCCTAAAAACTCATATACCTTAACCTAAAAAGTTATTATAAATGTTATAATAATTTATTTAAAAAAAATTATAGTAGATAAAAATAATTTTTTTACATATTATCTAATTTTAAAATACATTAAGCTTTAAATACTACCGTCAATGATTGAATGCATTTTCAAATACCATTAAATGGACCAACATAAGGCAGTTAAAAATCTATTATCAAAAATTAACTAATGAAATCTGTAAAACATTTAACTACCCCAAGTTTAATGATGTCCTCAAGTTAGCCAATTCGACGGTATTTGAAAATACGTTAAGTCATATAAAAATGTAAGCTACATATCTTATGTATATTTGCTAAAATTGTAATAAAAGTTGTATTACAAAATTTTAGTAATAAGCCAAAAATAAATTATCTATGCCATAAGGACATAATGATAACATTATTAGAAATGAGTCATTATAAGTAAAATACTTATTTTACTCATAATTAATGCTAAACAATTAAAATTTTTTGACTGAACATGAATAATTGTATTTTATGTTATAAATAAAATTATTTTCATAAAAATTTTAAAAGATACATTTATTAAATATTAAAATCTAAAACCTATGAATTGTTGATTGACCATGAATATTAACTTATTTTTCTCCTAACAATGTACAATGATGAGTACAAAGTGCCTTGTTTAAATGTTCAGCCAACTAAAACAAAATGAAATCAAGCAACTGTACCAATGTAACATTTCATTTATTTTGTTAAAGATTTAGGAAATTTTTTTATATGTAAAAGTTATAAAAAACTTGATCAAAAGTTTTCAACTATTAATAATTTTAAAAGAATTTAATACATTAATTGAAATCTGTTTATACCCAAAACTCAATGATAATGTGTTTGTTGATTTTTTAAAGCTTTTCTTACATTATTTTAGCTAGTTTAAGAAAATTTCATATTTATCTTAGCAATATAATATGTGACATAAGTTATGTTATTAAAAAATGTATAGAAATATCAACATTTTAATGATATTGTTAAATAAAAATATAATTTTATTGTTATACTAGATTCAAGGAAATATCTAAATATATTTATTCTAATATTTTATAGTAATAAATAATACAAATGTTTAAAATTAGGTGTAGCTTATTAGTTTAAAAAGTCCGTATACTATTTATTACAATGAATGTTAATTTATTATTGATATAATTGTATTTCCTTATATTTTAGGATGTCATACTATTGCGAAAATAATCAAAATCAAGTTAAATATTTATTCTGACAGTAAAAACAGGAAATTAAATGGCAAAGATAGATTTTGTTTAAACGTATCGTAAAAAAAAGTATCTTTATTTTATTTTTTATTTACTATTTAAATGGACAAAATAATATCAAAAATAACTAATTTCATACATCATTATTATAAAATATTCCTATAATAAATTGTGTAAACCACATAAGAATTGGAACAAAATGCGTTATATTTAACATTCTGATAAATGTAATTAGCCCTTATATAAAAACGTAGTTCATTTTTTAATTACATGTTTAATTTTATTATTTACCAAAATACTATACAGGACTCTATTATTCGGTATTGATTCCAAATATGTGTTGTTTATAAATTCATACGGGCGTAAGGCATTTTCAAGAATTTTTTATGTGACCGAAAATTAAATAATTCCCTTTTTAAAAATCATATGAACTATTTTTATTGGTATCACTAAAAAATCTGTTTGGATTTTTTTTAGTCGGTTAATCATGGGTCATTTTAAAAGTGTTGTCATTATGAACAATTTAAATACTCAATTAACTCGCTTACGATACATTAGTAAATCTCTAATTAAAATATTTAATAATTAATAATTTAATAATGGAAATTCTTATAAATAGTAATATATTTATAATTTTTTAGTTATAATATATATTGATTTATAAATGCTAATATATTTATATTATTGTATTTGTTTTTTTATATTGTATTGAAACTATCGAATAATTCGATTGTTACTATTCGATATTTTCCATTTAATTCACTCACTCAAATAAAAAAATGTGACTTTGGGTGCTATTACATAGAATCCTTTTTGTTTATTATCTATTCACAAGAAGATAAAATTAATTTGTGAATTACACTTAAAACTTTAACTTTGCATGTGATTTATTCAGTAGAAAAATCGTGTTTAATCTATGTCTAATATAAATGATTTAGACATTGATAATATGTTTTGTATATATATTGTTAACTTATTATAATAGTTAAATAAGCAAATGAGGACTTAGTAAATGTTTTAAAACCTAAATTGAGTTTTAATGCAAAAATGTATAATCTCAGAAATTTTAAGACTAAGTAAATTGAAAATAATTTTACTATTTTAAATTGCTAATGGAAAATTCAAAATATCAAATATTTATATTTTTAACTCATATTTTTGAAAATTCACTTTTTTAGTAATTACATTAAATTTAACTAATTCATCTTTTCAGTTATAAACGAAGTCATTATTTTGATTGTATAATGAGTAGGCTAATTAGAAAAATTTTATGTAATTACTTTTAATTTAATAATACTACTGAAAAAATTAATTATTCCGACTTAAAACCTTTTTATTTCAAAACAGCAATTAGTGTAAACCTTATCTTGACGTCAATGATTTTTTTTATACAAAATTTATAAATATCAATATTTGAAGCTTAAGTATAAATTTGATATCATTTATAATTTTTTTTAAATCATAAATTACTATAACTATATTTTGACTAAAATAATTTGTCTATTCTCTCTATCAAAATAAATTATAAATAAATAATTTAAGTAATATGTTTTTTAGAACTTGGATGATGAGATTACAAATAAAATAAATTATGCTGTCTGCCTGGCGAAATTAATTCATACTTAACCTATTGATAGAGTTTTCTATATCTAGTATTTTTATAGTTTTGCTAATATATATATCAACATCAACTAGTAAGGTAAACATATTTTTGAGAGAAAAGATAGTCAAATTGTATTTATACAATTAGATTGAAGATTTATTAATTTCGTATAAATTAATAATATTCACTGTATTTTTTTTTTATTCCTACATTAAATATTACAAGAATTAAATACTCGAAAATAACGACTATTATGTTACTATTGATTTAATAAACAACTTGAGACATATCATTGTTCAAACTATAATTTAATCAAGATAAGTGATATTTAATTTGTTCATACTGCTAAAGTTATAACTAAATAAATCAGAATAAAGTTTATTTGATTTTTTTTAATTATTGTCATCTTTTTCCTTTTACTGGTTTAAAAAATTCAATATCTGAGATAAAAAAAGAAATATAATTTTTTTATATAAGCCAGTGTCTTTTCAGAGTCAAGTCCAATTGAAAATATATGATATTTATATTTTTACATCAACTGAACACTTTAATTCTAAATTAAACATTTTCTTTATATACTTAAAAATAAATGGTGAATTGACAAAATTTGACACAAAAAATCCATAACATGATTTGTAAAAACTCATTTAGTATTCATATAAGTATTCAATTAACACTCCTAATGAAAATGCATTAAACAACTTCTCCTTATAGATCCACTTAGATTTTCATTGTTACTATTTACTATAAAATGAATTAGCAATTTTTATTGTTAAATGCTCGTTAAATTTATTATAGAGTATCTTTAATTTTTCTAACTTCAATAGCCATAATTTCGGAATTGGTTTTTGGTAAACAGCATGTAAATTACAAAAACTCGTATTAAATAATACTGTACACCGATGAAGAACTAATCATTCCAATAGTTTATCATAATTCAAATGGAATATTTTATTTTAGTCATACAATAGCAACTAATCGGTATAGATCAGAGTTCAGAATCAATTATCGTATACTTCGTGAATGTCTCATATATAAGAGATAGTAGGTACATACGTCATAAAAGGTTTCGAAGAACTTTTATAGACACGAATGGTATTTGAAAAAGCATTCCATTTTTTTCATTTAAATCTCACTTATATTAAATTATCTAACTAAAAAGTTTAAATTATTTGTAAGACAAATTTTAATATGTAACTAATCAATTTAAATGTTATATAATAAAATAAATATTAAAGTTATACAACAGTAGTGTGTAAAAATCAAAAACTCAATTTTTAGTCAATAATTTGATTTGCTCGTTAAACATTATCTATAAAATACTGACAATGACACGTGAAAAGAGTAATTATATTAAAGTAAAGTACATTTACATAAAATAATATATTATATAAATGATGGTAAATGTTTTTTTAGAACACGTATGACAAAAACCATTTTTCGATTAAATTGAAGTATTCTTAAGTCAAGGCATATGGCCATATTCCTAAAACGTATAATACATTTTACACAAAAGGCATTGGCGATTATTGACATTAGTAACGGGCGATTGTTAGAAAAATACAAATTCTTAGTGGCTAATTGCGAACAAAAGAAAGATCATTTCATTTTCAAAACACGCTCATCAGAAATTATATTTTCATTATAATAATTTGTAGTATTTAATAATTGTGGTGTATTTTGAGTACGTATTCTGTTTCAACATGGCCGGTAAACAAATAGAACACGCGCGGTGTCAAATCCATTTAGCGTATTGTAATTTTTATATTATTTTAACACTTGCGACTTTTGTAGATGTGTTAATGACAAAAGTCGACATTGAAACTAGTGTGGCACCAAACAATGTAAGGTGTATTTGTTGCTGTTTATACGGCGGGACGTCGAGCAGTATTGAAGCGTAACATATCGAGTGTAACAGAGTAATTTTAAAATATTAAAGATGTCAAAAATTGAGGAAATTACCGAGCCTGAATTGGAGTAATTGTCGCAGGAAATAGAAAGAAATGATTATTTCAGTTATATTTAATAAATAATAAAACGACGTGTATCGAAAAGGAAGTTGAAAATATAAAGGCGCTAACTGATATTAGTCATATTTTACCTCGTTTGGACTTGCGGTGTTTCGCATTTAACACGAGAACGCGCACATAAAAATTTTGTCGTCATTAACCGATCGATTTATTTGTTGTGTCCGCTGTGTAAGAAAAATAACGTACACACGAGACGTCTAACTGACGTGACGCTTTTTAAATATGATAAACATTGTGGTACATTTATTTCACTACAAAAAAAAAAAAACTTAAACGCTACTTGTCAGTTACGATGTGGCTATCAATTTACAGTCAACTATGAAATTTATTACTATATAGTAACAATAAAAACATGTTTGTTAGAAACATTTTTCATAATAATAGTTACAACACCTAATATTAGTCGGTTAAAAATCATGTATAGGATCATGTGGCTTATATACATGTGCCGCGCATGACGAGCTTTGTTTCATACTGACAAAATCCGTCACTTTTACTGAAGGGGAATCGCAGCTTACCTGTAGGCCTGGCATTTATTCGTATTGACAACGTGGCATATCTGTATGTATGTATGGCCTTCGGGTAATCTACATGAGATCATATGCACGCAAAGGATTCAATGCCTTTACGTGAGGAATTTGCTTATTGGAAACTTAATCATAATATTTTACATCAAAGAGGCTGAGTGAATCCAACACAAATATTATTATAATCTAAGTATATTGATGCGTACATTTATTTTTTTATTTCTAGTTGCAAGCACAATATAATGTATGCACGGTTATTGAAGTTGTAACTGTAATAAAAAAAACTGTGAAAATGTATCAGAAGAAGAATAACAAGATTTTTTTTGTGTACACATCCGAAAATAGGGGTAAAAGTAAAAACCTATAAATTGAAAAATAAATCCGAATTTAATGCTCTCATTTCATTAGTTTTGTATTATAGCATGTAAAATTCCACTTCAATAATAGGCTAAAAATTTCATATTCAATTTCAATGTCAATCATTGTAAAAATAAAGTTCAAATTAATATTTCAATGTTTTCGTGTCTTTAGATGTCATCAGCGGCCGAAAAACATGATTTCAAAAATATTGAAAATTATCACATTTCCAGTTATCCTAAATGAGCTCCTCTATTAGGTATTATGTTTATTTTTTTATATCGCTTCTTAAGTGTAAAAATTTAGTCGTTAACTTTCATTTAACTTAAATAAAACATTGTATAAAATTAAGTAAGAATCAATATAATAAGCGAAAATAATTTTTTACTGTTTTTAATGTTTTATACCTATCTTTAATGAATAATTTGAAAATGATAAATCTAATTATGTTTCTAATTATAAATAATAAATATGTTAATTATTGTTTCCCAGGCTTTGATAAAATTACATTGCAGTTATCACAGATACGTTCTAAATATACATTTAAGCCATATTGTGTACCTTGAAAGTATTTATACTCGATTCTCACAAGGTGAATTTATTATTTTAAATTAAAGAATAAAAAACTAAAACAAGTATTTGATGTATTTATATGAACATGCTATACGTGCTCTTAAACTATTCTAGGAAATTCCCAATTAATATTTAATTTTAATTTTTAATTAAATGCATACAATTATGAGATTATAATTTTTTCAATCTTTAAATTATAACATTTAAGTACGTAAAAAATCGACAGAAAATAATTATTTTAAATTGTAAAAACCATTAAATATCAACTAGTGATAAGATTTTAAATTGCAAATAAAAAATTATTCAATTTAAGTTGAAATATATTGAAAGTTTTCAATTGAAGGATACCTCGAAATAATACTTGGCTTTATACGATATCTTAACTTTTTTTATCATTGTTTTAAGTACTTAAAGCATATCAATTTGCAGAAGTAAAATGTTCAATAACTATTCAAATGTTTGACTAAGTGTATTAAGTAATGAATACTTTTTTTTATACAGATTTATTTTCAACATTTTTTTTTTCAAGTGAACAAAAACTCGTTCATTAGCTTGTCCTATTAAAATTTTCTCAATGGATATTTAAAAAAATGTAAAACAAATATACAGCTTTTACACATGACTTTTTTCATAACAATAAAATTTCACCACTTTATTTAAATATGGTTAAAAGAGTAGTATAATAACGACTAGAAGTCTATAGGAATGTAATATAATCTATAAAAATAATTAAATTCATTCATTGACTAACTTTAACCCAGATTATATTATCATTAGTTAAAATTTTGAAAATCATTTTCTATGATCAAAGTTAGCTAAGTAATCTATAAAATTTAAATAGAATATCTAAATTAACCTAAAAAATATTTTCTAGTCATTAGATAGACGTTTTATAACCAATCTTTTACTTACGTCATCCACTCACTTTTTAAAAAATGTATAATTATCACCAGTTAATGTAGTCCAATAATCCTAATTTTGTAATATGGTTAATCTATCAAAATGTAATCTTAATAAACACTAAAATAAACTGATATTGTTATTGTTTTGAAAATCCTTTAAACTTTTTGTGTATAATATTATCTAAATAATAAATAAAACAAGTATTGAAATCATAAAAAAATAATAATAATATTTTATCACTTAAAAAATAAAACGTTATTCAAAATTATTTTAAAGACTATCGTTAATCCAAATTAAAATGTATTATTTTTTTTTAATTTTATCATGCTTCTTTATCTTTTATTAAGTAGCTATGTTAAAATTGAAAAGCTAAATATAATAAGTGTTATTTATTTAAAGTATTGTTTCAGATAGCTAATAGCCAAATTAAATTATTACTATCATAGTATATACAAAATTAGAATAAGTCATTATTATAACATTTCATTTTCTTATGTATTCTACTAATTACTCTAAATTTTAAATGGTAATAATAATATTAGAAATTATAAATAATTTTACATAAAAGAATTTCCTATGAGTACACGTGGATCTCTTAAAAAAAATGAATAGATATAATATTAAATTGATTCTGGGATCGAGAAGTGTTTTAGTTTGCTATAATATTATTACTAATATTTATAATATATTATTGGAGGGTAAAAAATGTCTAGTCTGGTTTTCTTTCAAATGATTTTTTAAAATCTAGAGCACTTTAATTATATTGTATTCAAATAGACTGTTCTATGTAAATCAATTCGTACTTGTAAAATGTTATTTATATAAATAAATAATACTTTTCACGAATTTCTTTCGAACCAATGCATTATGAAAGTATAACACTTTCAATGGATACAGGTTTTTTTTTATAAGCCATCCATGAAGTGTTTAATTATCTTTGTCATCATGAAGACTACATAGTAAAAAAAGTTTACACGTGTCTATAACTTAAATAATTTGGCTGTTATTTTTACCGTATTTTTTAACAAAAAAATTTGAATAAATTAGTACGTTAGTAAGTAATACAAAAATAATATATTGCAATTCAATTAAATAGTAGAAAAATATAGATAATAAAATCACACCTATAAGAATTTTAAATAAAATAATTTTACATTTTGTAAATAATTAACAAAATCGGAGTATACATATTGAATAGGGTTTTAAATTTACATGGTTTTACAGTTGTTTTTACATATTTTTATTAATTTTCCTGCAGGTTTCTACTTTATACCAACTGGTTATTGAACATAATATTTTTCACTTAAACTTAACTTCCTTTAAAAAAACAATAATTATATTGAAACTGGGATGGAAAATAACAAAAAACATGGTACTAAATGATAAAGTTGGTTGAATTATTTTGATAGAGCCGGTGAATGATAGACACGCATTCAGGGAGAGTTTGTTGTACTGCTCCCACTCAATATTATGATAATTTTCAACAAAAAAAAGTGATAACTTTTTTAGCAATAGCTCTTATTTATAAGAATAGTGATATGCACCGTTTCCCTAACCACGTATCTATTGGATCGAAACCTGGTAAAAAGACAATTGAATAAATTTGAAATAGTTGAAAAAGTTAACGAATAAATAGCTAAAATTAATTCATTATTTGATGTAAAAAAAATAAGTTAAATTAAGCAAAAATATCGTAGGTTTTAGGGTTGCAAAATTGTTATGGATGGCTAAATGCAATTTTCCTCCTCCTAAATTTTTTTATGCAACAAAATATAAGAATTTTTTTTAATTTTTGACCTAATTTAAGAAAGAAAAACTTGATCTTGAAATTTTATTTAAAAAAGTTCTTGAAGTAAATCATACATTAATAATTAGTCGTTAAATAAACAAAAGAGAAATTAAGTAAACTTAAAATTTGAATATAATGTTGATTAAAAATTTTAGGAAGTAAAAAATCGTAATTTTACTCAATATTAACTGAAATCTTACACCGTTGATGGGGTAAGAGTATGCTTTTATTTTTTTTTCAGTTCATTACTCAAAGTCCGTTCCTTACTATTGTTACTGAACTTTAATTTTTGGATAATTCATCTAACTAAAAAAAAAGTTGTTTGTAATTACCATATACTACAAGTTATATACGATAGAAAAAAAATTGTGCACTTTACTCCAGAATACTCTAATTGGTAGTGGAATAAATTTTGACTGTTACATAATCAGTTTTATACTATTACTTTTTAAGACATTAGCATATAAGGGTTAAAAGGTGAAGAGCTTCTCCGGCCCTCCATCACCTCTCCTTTCTTTATTATAAATATAGAATCAATAGGCAATAGCGCATTATCAGACGTTCCCGAAACACTACCAAGTGTTTCTTTTTTTTATTCCATGAAAATATTTATTGAATAATTTTTACTGCTATCACTTATTATGAGTATAGTATTATTATGGTTACGACCTCAATCGTAACCACATTAGCCATTATGATCAGACTATATTAGTGAGACAGATATATCTGCTCTCTTGAACCGCAGCATATTATGTTAAATATAAAAAAGGGCCTATCTATGCGTTCTCCATCTCATTGATAAGTGACACTTGAATTTTAAAATAACGCACAGATAAAAATTCGTCCACGTTGATCAACCTTTATATTTATACCTAAAAATTATATAAACCGAATAGTAATAATATAAAGATTTTTATCGATCAGTCAAAATTTTATTAAGACCATTCACTATTTAATAATAAAAAATAATAATAGACACCCGTTTAACTTTCGAAAATATAGTCATGGTAATAAATTTTACATTATATATTACTTATATACATCAGATATAAACAGAAGGATGGATTTACGGGTTACACCCTTTCTATTCCACTGACTATTCTTTTTTTTTTTTAAACACAATATTGATATGAAAATATTTTAAACTTTTTACCCTAATGAATTATAATTTTTTTCTTTTTACTCCTAAATCAATATTATGTTGTAATCATATTCAAAAATCGACAAGCTGTGAAACGTTGAAGTCGTAAACAAGTGCAGATTTAAAAAAAATTATTATGTGCGCGTTAGTTAAAATCAATATATCACTATTGCAAATTTTTGGTGTTTTTCCTAACTTCAGGTAAGTTAGCATTTGTTTTTTCATCGTAGCGATATGATTAAATAGGATTGTACGTCATAAGAAAGGTAAATAACTCTCCTATCCAAGTTTTCTTCACTGTGGGATTTTAAATGATGACGTATTGTGAAAACTGTATAGAATTAATGGGTCAAGGTGTTGCTAAAGCCATGCTATCCTGACTACTGTTATTTCCTTATCTTGTAAATTTGTATATAACAATAACGATACATTTGCCAAGGTGAACGTTATATGTGTATATTAAATAATGAAATATCTTAGTATATAGAGGATTGTTCACCTAATACGGTCAAGAAACTTCAGTATTTCGAATAAAAGAACAGTCAAAAGCATTATAACGGTAACTTTTTTTATCTTAGCTAAAATAATTTTTGAGACTGACGATGACTTTGTGATGGTTTTCCCCGAATCAACTTTAAATACGTTTTTAGTAGGTGTAATTACAAACGTATGTTGTTCCCTATAAACACAAAAAAAAATAAATAAATACAGCGATGTTATTAATTTAAACACATGTAAGTGAAAATGAAAAAACAATCGTTTAAAATTACAATTAAAATACATGTAGTTGATAATGTAATAATTGAAGACGGAAGCTTAAGAATTGGATCACGAAGAAAAGTGTAATTTAATTTTTATTTAAGAGTACTGCTATAGTACTTAAGACTCCAATTATCTAACATTTTTATACAATTAATAATGTAAAACCAATTTAATTTGAATTCAATGTTATTTAAATATTTGATAAACTAAAATTTTGATATTATAATTTAGTTTGAATGTTGTATTCTTATAAGAACATTAAAGAATTTCTATGAGAATTTTATCATTAGAAAACAAATGGATTAAATGCATTTATACATTTTGTTAAGTTACTCTAAACATATTACTGATCTGTACAGTTTTTATTAACTTTATTAAAAACTAAATATGTTATAACTGAGGATATAGTTATGAGAATGAGAAATTTGGTGAATCTATTCATCCTTAAATGAAATATATTTCTATGCTACCCTACAAACCTAAAGCAAATTTATAGGAACTTGGGTTACTTTAAAATTTTA